TGTTTATCAGCCATTTGTATATTTCCTCTTAATTATCTCTTGATACCCTTTGATTATTTGGGGAGAGCTGTTTATTTTTTTCTTAGTCTTAAAATATTAGAATTAACCTTTTATCTATTATGTTACAAATGCTCTTTATTAAAATATGTTTTCATTGATTTCAGAGAAGAAGGGAGAGGGAGGGAGAGAGAGAAACATCAATGATGAGAGAGAATCATTGATTGGCTGCTTCCTGCACACCCGCTACTGGGGATCTTGCCCACAACTCCAGCCTGTGCCCTGACCTGGAATCGAACCCTGACCTTGGCATTGAAATTTATGAGGCCAAAGCTGACAGAATTTTTCTATGGAGCCTCCATGGGGACATAGAGTGATAAGGGCCTCCCTGATCCCGAGGCTATAAGATAATCCAGAGAGTTTTCTTCTTGTGCTTCTAGAGTTTTATGTTGTACACTAGGAGCCCAGTGCATGAATTCGTGCACCTTGAAAGTAACTGTGGGCCATGACCCTATGGTGGGTATAGGGGCAGGTCTCAGCCCATCCTCCAGTTCCCCCACCCGGCCCCTCCCACCGTGGCTCCTTGTCCCCTGTCTGCCAGCAGCCCTGCTCCTGCCACCGCCACTTCCACACTCTGACAGTGCTGATCCCGCTTGCAACTGCTCGTGGCGCAGAGCAATTGGTGCAGGCGCCAGCAGCGGGTTCGAGCAGAGGCTGCTGCCCCAATTGCCCCTCAGGAGCAGGGGGAGGTGGAGAAGCCCTGAAGGGCAATCGAGGGCGGCAACCACCTCTCACACCCACTGACGGCGCCAAGAGATGGAACTGGTGCCGGGCGCCTGCAGCGAGTGCGAGTGCGAGTGGGGACAGCGCCAGCATCAGGTGTGAGCAGCGGGCAGGACCACGGAGCATGGGAACAAAGAATTTTCAGTAACAACCAGAGGCTTTCCCCGGTGACAGTGATCAGCACCCCACCTTGGTCTGGCAACCCCGCTCACCTGCTCCACCATCCCACTGCAGCCCATGCCTGCCATGTTCTGTGCACACCCCCTGGTGGTCAGTGCACATCATAGTGACCTGTTGTTTTTGTTCAATTGTTCCGCAGCTCGGTCTGTTTGCTTATTAGGGTTTTATATACAGTATATAGATTATGTTGTAACCAGTTTATTGCTATGTGTGGTGTGTGAGGTAGGGATTTAACTTTGCTGGTTTTCTAAATAGAAGTCAAACCCCAGTCCCCTCACTAACACTGCAAAGTCTCTATTTTCTCCTATTATGCTATGTAGCATATACCTGTATACATTTATATCTTTGGATTTTTTTAACCCTCTCCTGAGAATGTTTATTGATTTTTTTTAGAGAAAGAGAGAGAGGTGAGAGAGAAACATCAATTGGTTGCCTCCATTACACATCCTGATTGGGGATCAAGCCCACAACCTGGGTGTGTACCCTGACCGGGGATCAGACCCGAGACCTTTTGGTGCTTGGGATGACGCTCCAACCAACTGAGCCACACCAGCCAGGGCCATGTCTTTAGATTTTTTAACAAGTCCTTGCTCCCCTGGGTTTTGGGTGTAGGGAAAGGAGCCCATTCCTGGGGAACCTACATGCTTGTTCACACAGAATGGCAGGCTTCCCTTTCTATCCAGCAGGTCACATAGTTAGATGGGCCTCCACCAGGCGCTCCTTCCTGCAGGGCTTGTGCAGTGCATGGGAGGCAGCGGGTGCACACCAGAACCTCCAGCGGGGCTCCTGGTCCCAGGGGATCCACTCGCCTAGGGTGGCCTATGGCTGACCCTCGGCCTTTCTGGTTGAGGGAGAGCTGGTTCTGCCAGTGGCTGGGAGGGGTGCCCTCGGAGGCGTATCCAAGGTTGTCTGGAATACGTTCTAAATGCCATCCCCTGTTCCTTGGTCTTTCAGCCTAAAAGAAACTCTAGTCGGTTACATGGAGACTAAAGATGGTGACATTCCCCCCGAGATGGAGTCTCTCTTCCCGGAGGAGATACTGCTCTGCCACTGCGTCTCCGCATGGAAAACAGCAGCCATGCTGAAATGGGCACGACAGACGAGATAAAGCCACTCCCTGTGCATCACTCTACTCCTCCCCCCGCCCATGGCTGGTGCTGGGACTAGGCCTCAGGACCTGAGCCCCACGCTCTCCGGGTGGTGACCACTGGTCCCTGGAGGTGGGAGGGAGCAGGACACGGGCCTCACGTTCCAGGGGAGCAGATGGGAACAGTCTGTCTCGGGCCGCTAGGCTCCTGATGGTCACATCCCCAGCCACCAGGCCCCTTCCTCTGACTACATGTCAGAGCGGAGGAAATGGGGTTACACATTTTTGCTTTTTTTTTTCTAATATGCTTTGCACTCGTGGAAGAGAATCTGGCTTCCTTCCTTCCTCCTTTCCTTTACATGCTGAGTATTGTACACATCTCCTAGGTTCCCAAGAACATGAAAAAGTGCCAGACTCTCGTTTGCATTCTCACAAGTCAGGACGTCCTGGGAGTCACAGACCTTGGAGTCAAACCAACAAGACCTGGTGCCCCGGCCCTGTAGGGAGAGCTCAGGAGATTTATCTCAGTGCTGCGGCAGATGCAATGGCGTGAGTACGCTCCGCCTGCACAAGCTTCCTCGGCACACCAGGAAGTGGCATCGCCCGCCTGAGCTGACCTCCTAGAGCCCCTACATAGTACCCTGATCTTTCCTACTATTGGTTGCCCTATGGATGTTGTAAACTTCTGATTGGTCTGGAATGTTATATATGTTGCTGCACTCACACAATAAACT